GATGGGCTCCAAATTGTCCTGAAAGGGGAAAAATGGGAGAAAAATGGAGAAAAGTGGCACTAAAATGGTCTGAAATGGCAGGAAAAGGGACAAAGATGGGCCCAGAGTGCCTCAAAATGGGGAAGGATGGCTCCAAATTGATCTGAAAGGGGAAAAAAGTGGCACTAAAATGGTCCAAAATGGCAGATAAATGGACAAAAGTGGCTCTAAAATGGGCCAAAATGGTAAAAGATGGACAGAAGTGACACTAGAATGGTCTGAAATGGCACAAAAATGGTTCAAAATGGGCCCAGACTGCCCCCAAATGGGAAAGATTGGCTCCAAATCATCCTGAAAGGGGAAAAAGTGGCCGAAAAATGGTCCAGAATGGCAACAAATGGACAAAAATGAGCCCAGATTGCCTCAAATTGGGGAAGATTGGCTCCAAATTTATCTGAAAGGGGGAAAAATGCACCAAAATGGTTCAAAATGGCAGAAAAAAATGGTCCAAATGGCACCAAAATGATCCTAAATGGCAGAAAAATGGCCTCCAAATGGTCCAAAAGGCAGAAAAATGAACAAAAACGTCCCCAGAATGGCCTCAAATGGTCTGAAATGGCACAGAAACGGAGCACGTGGTGCCAAGGTGGGCAAAAAATGGACCAAAAAGGATCCGAAATGGACTGAAAAGCCCCCAGGTGGTCGGGGGTGGCTTCAAGTCACCCCAGAATGGCCCCAAAAGGGCTGAAAACGGACCCAAAATCATCTGGAATGGGCTCAAATAACCCTAAAATGGGCCAAAATGGACCCAAAATTGTCTGAAATGGCCTCAAATGACCCCAAAACGGCACCAAGGTGGATGGAAGTGGGCCGGGATGGCCCCAAAATTGACTGAAATGGCCTCAAAGTGGCCACGAGTAATCCTGAAATGGCCTGAAAATGGGGATAAATGGACCAAAAGGGACCAAAATGGACCAAAAGGGACCAAAATGGCCAAAAATAATCCTAAAAGGGCCTGAAAATGGGGATAAATGGACCAGAATTGACCAAAAGGGACCAAAATGGCCCCTAAATGGCCCCTAAATGGCCACGAACCATTTCCAGTCTGCAGCATCCCCAAATGGCCCCAAATGAGCCCAAATCACCCCAAAACGGACGTAGAAAAACCAAATTGCCCCAAAATGGCCAAAAATGACCCCCAAACTGTTTCAGATCAGTGCCTGCAGCTCCAAAACGGCCCCAAATCGCCCCAAAATGTCCCAAAATCAACCTAAAAGAGCCCTAAAATGGGCACAGGGGGAGCAAACCGGCCCTAAAATGGACCAAAACGGCCCTAAAAGGGACCCCAAAACCATTTGACATCTGTGACAACCACAGCTCCAAAATGGCCCCAAAATGGCCTCAAATCACCCCAAAATCACCCCAAAATGGCCCCCAATAACTCCATAGGAACCCCAAAATAATCCCAAAATATCCCCCAATGGACACAGCAGGGCCAAAATGATCCCAAAACGACCCCAAAATAACCCCAAATCACCCCAAAATATCCCAAACTGGGCACAGTGGGACCAAAACGACCCTAAAAGGACCCTAAAGTGGCCCTAAAATGGCCCTAAAAGGACCCCAAAACCGTTTCACATTTGTGATAACTGCAGCTCCAAAAGGGCCCCAAATCACCCCAAAATCACCCCAAAATAGCTCCAAAATGGCCCCAAATCACCCCAAAATGGCCCAAATAACTCCATAGGAACCCCAAAATAATCCCAAAATATCCCCCAATGGACACAGCAGGACCAAAATGGCCCTAAAAGGACCCCAAAACCATTTCAGATCTGTGACAACTGCAGCCCCAAAATGGCCCCAAAATGACCCCAAAATGGACACAGCAGGTCCAAAATGACCCCAAAACGACCCCAAAATAACCCCAAAATACCACAAAATGGCCCAGACCAACCCAAAATCACCCCAAAATATCCCAAACTGCGCACAGTGGAACCAAACTGGCCCTAAAATGGACCAAAATGGCCCTAAAAGGACCCCAAAACCGTTTCACATCTGCAACAACCACAGCTCCAAAATGGCACCAAAATCACCTCAAGATCACCCCAAAATGGCCCCAAATCACCCTAAAATGGACACAGCAGGGCCAAAATGGCCCCAAAATGACCCCGAATCACCACAAAATCACCCCAAATGGACACAGCAGGTCCAAAATGATCCCAAAACGACCCCAAAATAACCCCAAATCACCCCAAAATGGCCCCAAATCACCCCAAAATATCCCAAAATGGGCACAGGGGGACCAAACTGGCCCTAAAATGGACCAAAATGGCCCTAAAGGGACCCCAAAACCATTTGACATTTGTGACAACTGCAGCCCCAAAATGGCTCCAAAATGACCCCAAAATGGCCCCCAATAACTCCCTAAGAACCCAAAAATAATCCTAAAAGATCCCCCAATGGACACAGCAGGACCAAAATGACCCTAAAAGGACCCCAAAACCATTTCAGATCTGTGTCAACTATGGCCCCAAAATGGCCCCAAAATCACCTCAAGATCACCCCCAAATGGCCCCAAATCACCCCCAAATTCCCCCCATGGACACAGCAGGACCAAAATGGCCCTAAAAGGACCCCACAACCGTTTCAGATCTGCGACAACTACGGCCCCAACCTGGACCTGGTGCCTGCAGGGACCGTCCTGGGGCTGCTGGTGGATTCGGGGTCGCGTCTGCACCTCTACGTGGACGGCCGGGACCAGGGGGTGGCGGCGGGGGGAATCCCACAGCCCTGCTACGTCCTCATCGACCTGTATGGGCAGTGCCAGCAGGTGGGCCTTATGGGGTCGTATAGGGTCGTTATGGGGTCACACAGGGTCGTTATGGGGCTGTTATGGGATGTGGGATTGTGGGGGTATGGGATATGGGGGATCACACAGCCCTGCTATATCCTCATTGACCTGTATGGGCAGTGCCAGCAGGTGGGCCTTGGGGGGTCGTATAGGGTCCTTATGGGGTCGTGTGGGGTCGTTATGGGGTCACGCAGGGTTGTTATGGGGTCATACAGGGTTGTTACGGGGTTGTTACAGGATGTGGGATCGTGGGGGTATGGGATATGGGGGATCTCACAGCCCTGCTACGTCCTGGTCAACTTGTATGGGCAGTGCCAGCAGGTGGGCATATAGGGCCTGTAGGGCCCTTATGGGGTCGTGTGGGGTCGTTATGGGGTCATGCAGGGTTGTTATGGGGTCACCCAGGGTTGTTGTGGGGTGTGGGATTGTGGGGGTATGGGATATGGGAGATCGCACAGCCCTGCTATGTCCTCATCGACCTGTATGGGCAGTGCCAGCAGGTGGGACTTGTAGGGCCGTGTAGGGCCCTTATGGGGTCATACAGGGTTGTTATGGGGTCATACAGCGTCGTTATGGGGTGTGGGATTGTGGCTATGAGGATTGTGGGTACCTGTATGGGCAGTGCCAGCAGGTGGGCCTTATAGGGCCTGTAGGGCCACTGTGGGGCTTTATGGGGTCATATGGGTCCTTATGGGGTTTTATGGGGTAATGCAGGATCGGTATGGGATCATTATGGGATGTGGGATATGGGGATTTGCCATGTGGGGGATCCGGTGTGGTGTGGGATGCGGGACATCCTGAAGTATCATTGGGATGTGGGGACGTTATGGGAGTGCCGTGGGGTGGCATTTGGGATGGGGGGCGGGGGGGGGACATTTTAGGGCCTGGAAGGGGACATGTTGGGGACACGGGGCTGTCACCCCACAGGTGACGGTGGTCTCCGATGGGGACGAGGTCGGGGCAGCCCGCGCCCGTGGGGACGTGGAGAAGGCGGACGTGGTGGATGGTGAGAGCGGACCCCAAAGCTGTGGGGCTGGGGGGGGATCGCTGACCCCAAATCTATGGGGCTGTCACCCGCTGGGTCTCTAAATCCGTGGGGCTGGGACCAGGTTTATGGCACCCCATCTATGGGGCAAGGAGGCCCTCCGTGGGACTGGGACCCCGAATTAATGGCTCTGACCCTAAATCCATGGGGCTGGGGGCTCACCCCAAAGCCTTGGGGCTGGCACCGGGTCTGTAGGATCGGTGACCCCATATGTGGGACTGCCCAGGAGAGGGCGTGACCTCCAACCCTCAAACCCCGCCCCCTTTAGCCCCGCCCCTTGACGCCCCGCCTCCATCCTGCAGCCCTGCCCCCCTTTTCCCGTTATCCCCCCTTCATGGAGCCACGCCCCTTTTCCTTTAGCCCCACCCCCTGGAAGCACCATTGCATTCTGAAGCCCTGCCCCCCTCTTGAAGCCACGCCCCTTTCCCATTAGCCCTTCTTCCTCCGTGATGCTCCACCCTGAAGCCCCGCCCCCTTCTTAAGCCCCGCCCCATCCCTTTAGTCAGCTCCTTGAAGCCACGCCTCCCTCCTGATACCCCGCCCCCTTCCTTATAGCCCCGCCCCCTGAAGACACATCCCCACATAGCTCTGCTCTTTCTTTCTAAAGCCCCGCCCCCTGAACCTCCCTCTCCTCCAATAGGAATGAAGGAACCGCGCTGGGCCCCGCCCCCGGAAGTCCCGCCCCCTCCCTGCCCCTACCAGGCGCTGTGCGCGCGCTTCAAGGAGCTGCTGCTGCTGCCTGGTAATGGGGGGGGGGGGCTCAAATG